TGTTTCCAGGGAGACCATGTAGAACGCACCTAGTCCGAAGTCGTCTGCCATAGTAGTTGTCATGATTCCGAGCTCGTAGCTTGGTGTGGAGAATGGGAAAACTCACTGATGATGCCGACTACGATTCCGGCGAAACGTTCAGTTCGTAGCTTGGTGCGGCGAATGGCAAAACTCACTGATGATGCCGACTACGATGCCGGCGAAACGTATGATTAAAGTCCACTGTCAGATGCTGGGAATCATGACAACTACTATGGCAGACGACTTCGGACTAGGTGCATTCTACTTGGTAGCTTGGTGCGGCGAATGGCAAAACTGACTGATGAGGCCGACTACGATGCCGGCGAAACGTTTGAGAATGTATCAAGTACTGTCGAACTACTATGGCAGACGACTTCGGACTAGGTGCGTTCTACATGGTCTTCCTGAAAACAAGACCAAGTTGCAACAACGAGGTCAACCCACTTTTAACAGATTAGGTTATATTTCAAAAGTATGAAGACCAAGATCGTGTGTCATTTAGTATAATCGCAGTCCCCATCCGTTGAACAGAAGTTGTTTTCTCTACTTGGTCATATCGTCAGGAAGACCTAGAGTAACTCTCCTTGTCCGAATACTATAGTATACGTGCTAATTTTCAGAATTGGACCGTATACATGGTATATTCCCAGAAATTTCGCCGGCATCATAATTGGTATCGTCAATTAGTCTTGCCATTCTTATCATCACACTAAAACTCGTCAGAGAGAATTGCGGTCAATTCTTTGACTAATTATCTGCTACATAGTAGTGATATCTCTCCATTTGCACTGGTGTATTCTCTTATCCCATATTTTCGTAACACCCCTTCACGATCATAATTTCCTACTTATTTAAACCTAATTCTTGTGTACCCTTTTAAGTGAGACCTATTAACGCTCGTCGTTGGTTTTCTTTTCTCCTCTGTGATGGGAATTTGATCTTTTAGTCCGCAATCCTTTTCGTCCAAGCCCCATCGAAGTCTCCCTCTTGTCCCTTAGGATCCGTCTCTTATCTCCCCAGTTCAGTGATTTAACATTATCACTACCACCCTATCTGTGCTCCACGAATCGTTGATCTACACTTTGCCTGTACGTACGTTAGCACATATCCTCCATTGTCACTGAGCAAGTTCCCAAAATCTGGTATATCAAGTTGTATAGAAAGCTAACTTAACGCTGCTGTTCAGCGTGTATACTAGGTAAGGGTGTTAAGCCGCCGTCAAGAAAAAGGCGACTCAATTTGTCTGCTCAGTGATGGCTCTAACTTCACTTACATTCGTCCAGCAAGTTAGAGTAAGATCATCAACCAAACCAGACATGTCAGATTACGGGCTAAATGTTAATGACCCTAGGAGTTTGCAGGTCCCCTGACCTGCATTCTGCACCACTCCTTTCTTCCTACTCACTTGTCAATTGGCCGCTACTAAACATCAAAATCACTCAAAGGTATCAAGACCAAGATTATGTAGCATTTCGTGCGGTCGCAATCACATTTCGTTGTATAGAGGTTGTTTGGCATTGTTTTCGCAACTTGGTCATATTGGTAGGAAGACCTAGAGGAACACACTTAGTAGGAGTCCATAGTATGCATGATAATTTCCAGACTCTGACCGTGGACGTAGTACATTCCCAGACGTTTCGCCGACATCATAGTCGGAATCCTCTGGAAATTATCATGAATACTATGGACTCTGGTCTAGGTGTGTTCCTCTAGGTCTTCTTACCAATATGACCAAGTTGCGAAAACAAGATGAAAATAAATGTTTGGCTGTCTGAAATCTGCCTAAAAGTTTTCCATTCCAATTCTCGATAATGCCACATTCGAGGATTTAGAGCAGAAGACGCCCATGTCCATGCCAGTG